ATAACAAAACCCATATGGAAAATGAAAATGGTCAAGAATCTCAAGAGAAATAATGAAAAGAAATATAAATAAAAGAGGCCTACAGTGCTAGACTTCAAACTATACTACATAGTACGTAACACAGCAGTCATTACTGAAAACAGTTTGGTACTGGTTAAAAAGTAGAGACTGATGATATTAGGTATACAATAAGAAGAAGCAAATGCATCTAATACCATACTATCTGATAAACACAGAGACCTTAGTGGGATAAGAAATCATTATTTGACAAAAGCTGATGGAAAAAATTGGAAGCAATATGAAAGAAATTAGGTATAGATCAACATCTTATAATAAGACAAGCTATAAATGGATAGGTGATCTAGATATAAAAGATCACATCATAAACAAATTAGAGAAATAAAGAAATTTTTACCTGTTGGGTATATGGATAGAAAAGTTTTTGACTAAACATGGACCAAAGAGACTACCAGAAGACAAAATGGGTAATTCTGATTATATTAAATTAAAAAGGGATTGCACAAACAAATCTAATAAAGCTAAGATTAAAAAGGAAACAATTAGCTCGGGGAAAATCTTTACAGTAAGTTTATATAATAAAGGTCTCATTCTCAAAATCTGTAAGGAATCTAAAAGAGAAAGAGCCATTTGCTGGTGAATAAATTACTAAATGATACAAGCAGGCAGTTCTCAATGGAAAAAACCCAAGAGATTAAGAGCCATATGAAAATGCTCCAAATCAGTACCAATCAGAAAAAACAAATCAAAGCAATTCTGAGATTCCAATTTCACACTCATCAGAGTGGCAGAGATGATGAAAAGGAAAATGATAAATGTTTTTGACAGACTAAGAGAAAATAGGCATAGTGGTACGCTGTTGGTTCACCTGTCAATGGATACACTTCTTTTGGAAAGTAATTTGGAATTACAGCAAAAAGTTACTAAATAATATCTAGCTAAATAATACCCAGGTAAATAATACCCAATACGCTGCAAGACCTATACACAAAAGGGATTTAAAAAATGAGGAAAGGTCCCTTACGCTTGGTTTGTTTGTTTGTTTTTTTAATATAGTAGCTCTTCTCAAGGTGGCAAAAAGCTGGAAACTAAGGGGATGTCCATCAACTGAGGAATGGCTGAATAAGATGTGGTATATGAATGTGACAGAATTTTATTGTAGTGTAACAAATGAGAAAATAGAAGATTTCAAAAAATCATAGAAAGTGTCTTAAAGACTTAAATGAACTTCCACAAAGTGATGTAAGCAGAACCATAAAAAATTAGATTAACATCAATATTATTAAAAATAAACAATTTTTAGTACTTTTATAAACTGATAAAGGATGAAATGAGTAGGACCAGAACATTTCATATAATAATAACGTTGTAAAAACAAACAACTTTTAAAGCTGTAAGAACTACACTCAATACAATGACCATTCATGATTCCAGAGGACCAATGGGAAAAAAAAAAAGCTATCCATTACAAAGAAGTGATGGATTTAGGATGCATAATGCGACATATATGTTTTATGCTTGACTGTTAGAAGAGATTTGTTTTTCCTTTCTTTTGTTTCCCTAAAGGGTAGGGAGTGGGAGAGAGAGAAAATAGATTTGTTACTTTTTTAAATAGAGGTAGGGGGTGCTATAAATGTGGAATGTTGCATGTGCTTTTAGATGAGATTGTATATCATTAGTTTTACTTTAACCATTTTACTTTGTTACAGGAGACCTTTCAGCAAGTCTGAGTAATCTGAAAATGTTTGTAATATAAAAACAAAAAAAACCCCATCAATATTTATTTTTTAAAGAAGGAAATCAACATGGAGGAAAAGGGTCTCATAACTGCTGATAAGGACTGGGACAACCCTAATGTAGAAGCTTCTTACCATAAATCCAGAATTACTGCAGGCTCTGCAGAGAATTTTCTTTCAAATGTTTGCTAAAAATAGTTTGATACAATTAATTACATTGCCTACATTATTTCAAGCAACAAGTCAGAGATGGAAGAAATTTATGGAAAATAATGCTGGGATTTTTTTCCTGTAGTTCCTCTAAGTAAGGAGGGCCAACTTTGTGATGAAATAGCCACAATTAAAGTTCTTTTAAACTAAGGAATAAAAGTAGATTACACAAGATCAAACATGCTTATATGCAGGGATCAATACTGATAATCATGGATGGTAAAGACAATGTCTCTACTAACTACAGAGCTGATGAAAAGATTCAATTTTACTAGATAATGTTAGATGCTATATATTTATACATTAAGCATTTGACCTAATACATGCAACTTCGTTATGAAGTATATGCGATTGATGTATCCAGCACACTACATACAACACTAATATTAGATGCTCTGTACTAATTATGTATAGGTAGTTTATGTATCTAGGATTATTATGTAATATGTATGCTATGTACAATTTAATGAATGTTTTGGTGTATACCTACATACTGTACACCTACATACTGTACCTATATACCTGGTAGGATTTTTAGGGATTGAAAATTTTCCACTGGGATGAGAGTTTAAGGGAAGCAGGGACTTTGTGCTGGAATATAGGGCACCTCTACCTCTCCCATTCTGGGGCTACTAAGTACCTCTTGGAAGCGTGTTAAAATTCAAGTCTATTTGCATGGCATCAGCACTATCTGCCCAGGGTGTGATGGGAATTGAAAGGACAAATGAAAAATGATATAGTTATTCCAAGTGTAAGAAGGATTCAGCAGGAAGTATGTACTGCATGAGGGTATTGTATACAATCTGCATTCTGGGACAGGGAAGAAGTGAAAGAAATTTACTCACTCTGACCCAGCTACTTTTTTCCGTCTGGGGGTGGGGAGGAAAGGCAGCAAGGTGAGTAGATACAATCTTAACAGTTGCATGAGTGAGAACTCTGTTAGTCACTCTTGTGTAGGCCTGACTAACCAAAGAGTTGAAAATGGGCTAATGATTCCTGAAGCGGTATTAAGCATCAGCTATTGCTCCAGCCCATGGCAACAGTGACTTGGTAAAAAGCAGCCAGAAACAGAACCTTTAGAAGGAAGACATGCAGGGAATTATGACTAAGAAGGCAGGGCTAAGGATAGCTTTGGGATCACAATATGCTAAACTTGTGCTAAAAGTGATGCAGAGAGGAATCAGGACCCACCCAGTGGAGCCAGAGGAGTGAAATTTAGGGTTGGGGTGAAGGACATCAGATCTGACTGACTGTTTGCTGGGAGCCACAGCTATGATAGCCTGAAGCATGAGTTCCCCAGACAGTTGTTCCCTTCCACACTAGTGTGCGAGTCTTTGGGAGATCGCCTCCTTTTTGTGCATGGTGTGGGGAAGAAGCCTAAGAAAGCCTTACTTGATCTGTCTCTGCTATTTTTGTCACAATTAAATTATTGACATTAGATTTTTTTCCAGATTTACTGGAAGAGAATGCATTGGACTAGCACCTTGAGATAGCTTTGCAAAATTTTTATTAGCCAAAATATAACTTGCAAACCTAGGGCTCTAGAGTTTAGTAAGCTACTTGGTATATTCATGTCCCTGCATATTTTGCTCATTGTTGACACATCTGATTCATAGAGGATGATGTTAGGACTGTCCCTATAGCACTCTGAATGGACTAAAAATCCTTCCTAGGCCCTAGGCACTTCCTAGGTCCCTATGCTTACAGACTGCCTTGTAAAGAGAGGCAATGCTCATACAACACTCAGCTTAAGCCTGAACACCAGCTGATGAGGTATTTAGAAAATGCCTCAGCCTCGTGAGTTTGAGGATTCCTCTTAAGTCTGGGATTCTACATCTACTCAGCATATAAACTGGCATATCCAATAGCACAAATGCTAGATGACACTTAATTCTACTGCCCTAATTCTATTGCATGAGGGTGTGCAATATCTAAGGACCCCAAATTAATCTCATCAGTTTTCTGATAGTGGAGGTATGTCCCTTGAATAACAGGAGAATTTAACCTATCAATCCTCTTATTTGGTTTGAAAAGACCTGGCCTAAGCTTCACCTAACAATCACTTTTTGACATCAGATCTTATGGACTGTTTGTCAGCTTCTTACAAAGGATATCCCTACTGGGTTCCTTAAAGGTTGTTTCTCAATTTATTCAAATCAACTAAGTGAGTTCTTTTGATTTTGTTTGCTTTTTAAGGTAAAAAGAGCAATTTCTTAGTAAACTTGGAAACAATTAGGATTCAAAGTAAAGCTGAGCCTCTGGGTATTCATTCACCTGAATTAGCTCACAGAACATAGACATAGAGCTGAAAAGGACCTAAGAAGTCATGGAGTACAACTTTCTCCGTTTACAGATGAAGAAACTGAGGTACACAGGTTAAGCAACTTATATATAGTCACACAGTAAATGACAGAGCCTGGATTTGAATCCAGGTTGTTTGATTACTAAGCTATAGTGTTTCCACTGCATTCTCCTGCCTTCAGATGAGTAGCTTCTTCCTCTGGAAGCTTCTTAAGAGAAAGTAGAGAAGCAATAAAATTTGACAGTACGGTACCATGCTTCTAACCTGGCCTCAGTCTCCGACAGTCTACTCCTACCCATTGGCTCTAGTCCTTATTAGTGAGTACAGTTATTTTTCTGATTTTTTGGGGGGGACTACGATTTTAAAAAATCTGATGGTAATTAAAGCTGTCCTTTCTGTCACCTAGTATAACTATGTTAACAAGATATGATCTTGATTTGTATATTTATGAAGAAGGTAGGTTTGTACTTAAATGATTTAGAAATTATTTTGAACTTAAAAACAATCTCAAAAACTTATAAACTTCTTTAATGAATGGTACTATCTTCTCCATTAAGGCAAAGATGACTGGATTTAAATTTAATATCTGCTGTCCTTGAAGAGCTCCAGGAATTCAAGGTCAAAAGACAGTAGAACATCTGATTGTAACAAGGAACTTTTGGCATTCTTGTGTAAACTGTAATTAGTAAAAACAGCAATCACCAAATATCACAACATTCAAATCAGTAACGTACCAATTCCATTAACTGTTTGAGCTGACCTATCTCTTCTGGAAGAGATCCAAGCTTGTTGTTACTTGCAATTAAGACTTTGAGAGGGAGACCACACAGGCAGGCCGGCAATGATGACAGCTGATTGCGACTGCAACAAGAAACAGAATAATACAAATAAAAAATTCAGCTTATATTATGCCATATGTTTATGTGAGTTATCATCTGGAAATGAAAGCAGCAGTTTATAAAATTAAAAGTTAATCTTTTCTGGATATGCTAGCAGTTCAGATGGCAAGTATTCAAAAAAAAAATAACTTTGGGAAGACAAAGTTGAAGCTATTTATTTTTAAAAGTTTTATTTAAGCACCAAATAGAAACACATTTAGAGGGATGTGGCATGGATACAGTGATAAGCCTGGGGTCAAGAAGACCTGGGTTTGGGGCAGTTAGGTGGCACAGTGGATAAAGCACCTGTCCTGAAGTCAGGAGGACCTGAGTTCAAATCCGGCCTCAGACCAAACACTGGACACTTACTAGCTGTGTGACCCAACTGCCTAAAAAAAAAACCTGGGTTCAAATTTGGCCTCAGAAACTTACTAGACGCATGACCCTGTTTGCCTTAGTCTCCTCTTCCGAAAATGGGGATAGTAACAGCACCCACCTCACAGAGTTGTTGTGAGGACCCAATGAAATAATCATTATAAAGCACTAAGCACAGTGCCTGGCATACCGTTAAGTGCTATATACACTTTTTACTTACATCCTCATCATCATTATCATCTCTTCTTCCCACACTGAAAAAATCACTGCTATTCTCTTTTATAAAAAGCTAATTTTTTATTTTTCTCCAATTACACACAAAGACAATTTTCAACATTCTTTTTTTCTAACATTCATTTTAAAAATTAAGTTCCAAATTCTCTCCCTTCCCATCCCCCTCATTGAGAAGGCAAGCAATTTGATACAGGTTATACATGAAACACTGCTACTCTCATTTTATCAGCCTGCACCCATTTTTGACAGTATATCCAGACAGCTAAGACCAACCAGAAGATAGTATACACTGGTTTTCCCCGATAACATACAGAAAAAAAATTCAAGTTGGGGCAAATATGTTTAGTAAATATGAAAATGGACATAATTTTTTCACCTAAGTCAGAAATAGTGAGGAAAGGATCATAGTTCACTGAAAAGTAGGCCAATTTCTGACACCTAAGAGCTAGGGTCTCTACTAAAACCAGAGAGACAGTGTGATATATTGGGAAAATCATTTGATTTGGAGCCAAAGAACTGGGGTCCAAATCCTGTCCCTGCTACTTCCCAGCTGCGTAAGCTTTGTCAAGTCATTGCCTCACCTGTAAGATGGAGTCTTGACTGGAGGGCCTCTCAAATTCCTCCTTCCTTCCAGCTCTCTACCTATAATCCTATGATCATGGAGCTCCTACCTCAAGAGAAGATTCATTAGAGGCTCAAGAGAAGCACCATCAAAAAAGAAAAAAGAAACAAGAAACATAACTCCCCAAATATGACCTGAAGGCAAAAATGACGCCTGCTACAAGAGAAATTATTTGGTTCCCAGAAGTGGTCAAAGAGGCCTCCTCTGATATTCTCCCTGCCAGATGCTTTGCCCGACTTCCCCTCTAACGGAGCAGGCTGCCAACTTTCTACAATTGACTCTCAGTTGTATGAAGCAGCAGGAAACAACATGGATAAATAAAATCCAGAGATGATCCAAAGTTTTCAGCCATTTACCTCAACTTCCTCTCCACCAAGAAGTCATTTTTGCTTCTAACATGTTAATAACCTAGGTTCAGAAACACCTTAAGGTACTGGATAAAGATCATATTGCTAACAAAGGGTGGAATCAGAGTTTGAACCCAGGGCTTCTCGGTTCTGGTTCAGCACTCTTTCTACTACACTACTGCCTTTCAGTCAGATGACTTGTAAGTGTCTACCAAATCCTACTTTGTTGTCATTCTGTGGGGTGGCAATGATCCTAGCTAGGCAAGCCATATATGCCATCATAACAAAAGCTCTGGCAGATTCTCCTATGCTGCAGAGGCTTTGGCAGCAGGCTGGTGCTACTTCCTGATAACTAACATCCCCAAGTACTGAGAAACTAATCACGTCAGAAGCTGGATGCTTTCTTTGGCTATGGTCTATGAAACAAAGAAAAATATAAAATGGCCTTTAGGCCTTCATGGCCCCCTTTGGACTTTGCAGCACAGTGGCAGAGAAGTGGAAAAGGAGACAAAGGGTGCTAAGAAGCACAGTTCTTAGATGGTTCATACATTCTAAAAGCTTAAACTTTACCAGGGGATCAAAACAATGCATATAAATGACATATAAGGAAGAACATGATAAAGGCAAATAAGAGATCAACAAAATGTTCCAAGAAAATTTGAGGAAGGAGAGATCAATCTCACTTAGAAGAATCATGGAGGGCTTTATGGACAAGTTGGTTCCTTAGCTGAGCCTTGATTTCAAGAGGTAGTCATGTATAAAACAGAATACATGAAGAATATTTTTACCCATCTCATCCCCACTCTCTCACCTTCCCATCAAGATAAAAAGGTTCTCAGTACTTGACTCCTATGTGACTTTCATATTGTCTTATCAAACTATCAACTCACATCTTCCCTTTACCACCTCCCTTATTAGATCAAAATTTCCATTCCAGTAGTCTCAGGTTTTAGGTATCCTGATAATTTAATTAAGCAGCCTATGACAGTAAACAAAAAAAAAAATAAAGCCCTCAAAAGGTTCACATTCATCACCATTTCAATAATTAATGAGATTAAATTTCTTAGGATGTAACTGAATTTTAAATAATAGTAACAATAACTAGCACTTATATATAGCACTTTGCATTGCAAAACACTGTACATACAGTATCTCATTCGATTTTAAAAGAACTCTCCAATATGGTCCCTTGAAGGAAGAAAAAGGGCAGGGGTTTTTCCAATTCCTGGTTGTTCCTTATCCTTTCCCAGTCTCTATTACCTAGCAAAATGCATGTATGATTTGTCATAAGGAAGAACACTCACATTAATATTTACAGTCCCTGATTAGGCCCTCTTTTCTCTTCTCTTTGCATTCTCTCACTTGGTAACATTCGTAGTTTCAATAGTTTCTATAGCTCCCTTAGTTCCAATGATCCTCTCTATATTGTTGACTCCCAGATGTATATATTGAGCCTAGATATCTTTCTGGAGTTCCCACTCTCACACTGCCAACTACTAGCTGGACATATCAAATTGGAGAGCAATAAGCCTCCCAAATTTTATGTCCAAAACAGAACTCATTATCTTTGCCCTCAAACTCACTCACCTTCCAAACTTTCCTATTGTCTGTTTCCTATATCTGGGCAACATCTTTCTGGTTCAATAAACTCGACTGGCACCCTATTATGTCTAAGATCAAATAGTAACTCCTCTGACATTTAAACCTTTTAAAACCTGGCCCCTTGCTAATTCTCGTCTTCTTACACGTTACTCCCCTCCACATAATATGTAAATTTAGCCATATTTGTCTATTTGTTGTTCTGTATACATGAAGCTCGATCTTCCACCTCTGTATGTTTGCACTGACTATTCCTTATCCTCACCTCTGCATCCTGGTATCTCTGGTTTTTTTCAAGACTTAGCCCAAGCACCATCTTCTACATGAAATCTTCACTGATTCCCTCAACTGCTAGAGCACTTCCTTCCCAAACTACTTTGTGTTCATTTTCTATATGTTATGTATATACTTATATATCTACATGTTATCTCTTATAGCAGAATATAAACTCCTTGAGGTCATAGTGCCTCACATATAATAATCTCTTAATAAATGCTTGTCGATGACTTGATTCAATCTGTCATTCAGCTAACCTTGAAGCACTTCCCCAGATGCAGATCTCTGTTAGATAAGGGATAGGAGAGGGGAGTTTCTCACATGGGGCCAGGAAGGTAGATTTTAGGAGGAAGGTGGTTGAGAGGAGCTGGATGTCTCTTCATGTGCGAAGCTCAGACTCTAGGACTAGAAAGGCAATGCCAACATCTTATCCTTACTACTGGGGTAGGGCAATGTAACAGGCAAGACTTCCATGGAATCATACTTCTTAGATCTCATTTTCCAAAGAGAAGCCAAGTTCTATCTGGATCAAAGAGGCAGAGAAAAGGCCAATACTAAGAAAATTTCTAATACAATGTGATCTATCCTAGAACCTTTCCCTGAACTTCTCTAAAGGCATCATAGAACTGAAGTCATATGATTATTCTTTTAATGAGACGAATGATATGAGATGTTTAAATGTTTAAAATTATTTATAATTTCAACCAGTTATGAGTCAAGATTTGAATAAAGCAATGCTAGTACAATGTCTTGTGTTTAGATATTCTTAAAAAATTAGAACATGCAAGAATTCAAGTTAAATCATTTATTTACTACCTGTTACATTCAAAGACATTATGCTAGGTACTAGCCATACACTTTAAAAATAGAGCAAAACCCTAGTCCTTGTATACAAAGAGCCTATATTCTAAAAGGGAGATACAATTTGTACATAGATAAATATAATTGAAGGTTTATACCCTTTATGTCCTTATCACCTATCACCTGTACTAGTATAATGGCTTCCTAATTGGCCTCCGTGTCTTCTGTCTCTCTCACTCCAATTTTTTTTTCAATAAGGCCAGCAAAATTAGTTTCCTAAAGCATGGGTAGGATCAAATACAAACTCCTCTATGTGACAATGAAAGTAAAAGGGAAAAGAGAGTTCACTTAAAAGAAATTCATTTTGGAGTGAAAAATGAATGGAAACTCATCAGTTCCATAAAGCAAAGGGTATCAGTATGCTTGATCATCTTTATCTATAGCAAGCAAGAGATGAAAGCATTAGTAACATGATCAAAAACTGTTATACTTTACTTAAATAATTTAGCTTTAGAATGTATTATATAATCCCAGGGAGTAGCTATCCTTTACTAATTATGCAAACACAAGCTACTATTACAATTAGTTTGAATTTCCTAAGAATATGTCAACTGACATTAAATTAAATACCAACCATAATGTTTTCCCTCTGTACTGGGGGATAAATCTAATTATTAACTGGCTAAATCATCTTTGTCCTTTTCTTCCTATAGATTTTTAAAAGAAAAT